TCTGTAACTGTTTGCGGCTCATGGTCATACCACTTTTCTGATGTCTTTATGTTATAGTTGTGACAGACTTATTATTATTATTATTATTATTATTATTATAAACTCCGCATCAACCACAAGGACGTTGCCAGGTTGTTAATTCATAGTGATTGTATGTGTTAGCAAGGTCGTAGATGATTAGGTGAATAATTAATTGTTTCGTCTGGTTTAACAGACGTTCTCGACGAAACAAGTTAAAACCAATGTGCCTTTGTCTTACCCTGTGCTGGTTCTCCATATCCTTAAGCAGGTTTTTCAAATCAGTGAATGTTGGTCTTTTATCCGGGTCATTTTCCCAGCATTTCATCATTATCTGATACCTGGGATAAACAAGAACTTGTGATGGACTGTTTCAATAAACTTTGACGTCACGCGTAGTCGCAAACCCCAATATCTTTTGCTTAAATTGCTTTCGGAAAGAAATTTCCCTTTTTCCCTTGGCAAGGACGAAAGTTATGAAATGTGAGTGTACCCGAGGGGGTACTCAATCACAACAGTGTTGGGAGATGCCAATCGTCAGGCTCAAAAAAGGTCCTATCAGGCTAAAATAAAGTAAATAAATAAATAAATAAATAAATAAAACAAATCGATGGCCTGGAACGCAAACCGAAAAAAATTGTTTTTCTTTGCATAAAAATAACTTATTAAAAACAAGACATCAAAAGTATTCCAGACAGGTTTTGCATTAATCTTGTTTTATTTATTGTATATACATATATCTCAATCTTTTGACAGACAGCATTCATTCCTAAATCGCTAAGAAAGGAATTCTACTTGCCATTTGTATGCAATTTATGTCTGTCTGGTCTAGCCCCCTCACTATCATACATGAACCTGAGAAGCCCTCCCCACCCCACCCTACTGGGCAATATACTTGTAGTTTGCAGGAGATAGTCAGTTCCAATTCTGAGATAACGAATAACAGCGATTGCCAACAGGTGGGAGGTTAGGTTCCACTACGCCGTCTACAATTACATAATTGCATAACTGAACATAGCTTGACGTATCAAAATTGCGATAACATGTGCACTGCAGCCCTCCATAAAGGGCTGTCACTGTTGGTTTGATTTTCAAGAAGCAAAACTTACAATTTGTCATCCACATGTCGTGGTTTGGGCATTCTTTTTCCTTCCTGAAGCAGGCTTGCAATTTTCCTTCCATCCATTCGTGGATACGGTGAACCACCTATAAAAAAAGCAGCAATGTCTCGAGTTTATCGGTAAAACCACAGGAACAGTCGGAATTATGATTGCTGCTTCCATCGCAAACGGAGTAACGGAATGTATTAATGAAATAGGTACGCAATACTCAATCACTACTTCGATTGAAAGCAATTTACAAAAGCTATTTAAGAGCAAATTTACACAAAAATCAAAAATAGTTCGGTAAGGCTTGAAAAATCGAACTTGCCCTACTATTGCATATAAGTAGGCCTTAGTAAAAGTAAAAACGCTATGTAGTTTTTTTTCTTCAAATATCTTAGCTTGGTATTTCAGAGAAAAAGGACATTATCGATTTCACGTCCAGACATCAATCTAACGAGTGCTAACTGGGCTGAAAATCGACCATTTTCATTCAATTCGCATTTCCGTCGCAACTATTGAGCGCAAAAAGTTATAATGCAACCAACTTAATGCAGAACTACTCCTTGTCCAAAAAATTCCAGTTTTAAGAATATTGAATTAATCCAACTATTTGGCGGTAAACAAAACCAAAGTGTTCTCCAACGATGAGTTCGTCAGTCGGTGAAAAGAATTGTCATTTTGACCATGTGNTTCCGAGAAAAAGGACATTATCGATTTCACGTCCAGACATCAATCTAACGAGTGCTAACTGGGCTGAAAATCGACCATTTTCATTCGATTCGCATTTTGCAACTATTGAGCGCAAAAAAGTTCTAATACAACCAACTTAATGAAGAACTATTCCTTTTTGTTCCAAAAAGCCCAGTTTAAGAATATTGGATTAATCAACTATTTGGCGGTAAGCAAAACCAAAGTGTTCTCCAACGATGAGTTCGCTGGTCGGTGAAAAGAATTGTCATTTTGACCATGTGCCATGTGTCGGAATTCCAAAAGATTTTAGCTTCTAACAATACTAGGTTAGGTCTTTCATTATATGTAAAGTTTACTTTTGTGAGGAGAGAGAATTAGATAATTAAGTACGTTTTACATCTTCGCTTTCGCTGTCGAAAATATAGAAAT